CGTTTGTTTAGAAAATATCGCAACATCAAGCGAAGGCAATTACATTGCAATAGGTCGTAAATTTAAAGTTGTTGAAGAACTTTATAATTATCCATGCAGTTCTGTCGATTTGGATATATTTAAAGTCAGTCAGTTATCAGATCTTCAAGTTTGGCCTTTGTGTAAAATTAGTAAAAAATTTGTAAAATTACCATACACAAAGAATGGTGAAAGAAATTTTGCCGTAATACCGCTAATAAGCACCGCACATTTAGAATAATTTATTAAAATTTACTTTATATATATATATATACAAAAGATATTTAAATAGATTTCTTGTGTGTGTTTACGATACGATACGCGAGAAAATATGTTTGTTAAGAGTTTCAGGAAGATGCCGAATTCAAGAAGTCAAGGATTTATCGTCGCAGAATTCTACGATGGTATTCAAGTAATACCAAAAATTTGGCTACAAAGTGAGGATTTATGTAAATATCCCTCGCATTATAAAACAGATTTTAGAATTCGGAAGGCAGTTGAAAAAGAGCAAGTACCAACTTCTGATTGGACTTCCTTTAAAATTGATCGGATTTTTGGCGAATATTGTAAGTACTTTAATAAAAAAATCTTGAGTTTTTTCCACAATACTTGCTGATAATACTTGAATTGTTTTCAGCGTCTTTATGTAAGGCCGATGAGAAAGCCAAACAAGCACTCTATACGTCAGATATGGATACCGATAAAGAAGCAAATAGAAAAGCCAATAGAAAAAATAGAGCGAGAAAAGATATATTCTCATCCGAAAGCGAGGAAGAATCGTCAACAGAAGTTAATTTACCATCTCCTCCACGTCCTCCTGCAAAACGTAAATACAAACAAACCTATTATGTTTAATAGTGCATACATATGAAATTCATGTTTTACACCTTTTAAATATATATTTTATTTTGTATTGAAAGGTCAACGACTGCACGATGAAAATGAACCTGGAAGTTCATCCATTACATGTTCTGGAGATTCTGCGAAAAGATACACCGAATCAGGAAAGCTCCCAAACTCGAGTACATCTCGAATAGACGATACTTCGTGCGCAAGAAACAATAATGCTATAGATCTTACAAAGGAAAATGAAGAGAATGTATCGATAAATCAGCACGTGGAGGAAATCGGCCGTACGCAAGATAAAGAGAGACCAAGAGAGAAGAAAAATGATAATTTAAATCAATCTTCACAAGAAAATGCAATTGGTAAGTATAAATATATTCATCTGATTTAAATACATATTGTAATAATAGTCTTTGTTTGAAAATTTATATATTCTACTTGAAAACACGAATAAATTTTATTAACTGTAATACAGAGAGAAGTTTATCGTAATACTCAATCAATTGTGTGTTTGTTAGTCAAAGACACTTAGTATTTCTCTAAAATCTTTACTAGTATGTACAAATATCCTCTATACAAATTAAAAAATAATAAATATTAAAACTTTTAGTTATTCCTAAAATTGTTATTATTATTAGTACACTTTTGTAATGGTATTGTAATATTTTATATAATACTTTTTAATAATATTATATAACTTGATAACAGAAAACGAAAGATAATAATAATAATGTTGTATGTTGAAAGAACTATATTAATTTAAAGTGTTTAAGCATTTATATTTCATTTTGGATAAAATAAAACATTTTCTAGTATATCGAAATAAACATATTGTTTCTGGTTTATATATTTTTTTCTTTTTTACAAACCAACGTGTGATGCCGCTAATTTCTATTTTATGTATATGCATTTTATTTGTTTACTAAATAATGTCATTTATATTTTTTACAGTGGAGCATTTGAAGAGATTAACGAGAGAAATAGCTACTGTAAAATATGATATAAGGCAATCGCTTACCTTGTTGGATATTTTAGTTAAAAGGACAAATACGGAAACCGAAGTAAGGAACACGGCGATTTCTTTCGAAGGCGCTGAAGACCGATTTCCGTTGCAAACTGCAGAACAATTAATGGAGGTGGAGGAGATATTGAAACACCGTGATTCTCAACATAATGCTGCAATAGTAAGTTAATAATACATATATTAATTTATAGTAATATTAAATACACTATATATACAAATTTTTGCCAAAGGGATAGTCATGTAAAATAAGATTACGATAATTAAATGCATTAGATATATTAGATTAGGTATGGTGTATTTCACAATTACTATCAAATATATAAATGTTATATAATCAAATTTAAGTAAACTTTTCCGTAAAAAAATTACAAAATACTCTTTTCATAAAGTTTTATTTTTATTTTGAATGATTTTAGTTACAATGATTAATTAAGTATAAAAACTTTTTTTTCTTTTGCTTATAAGATTATTAATCGCTAAAATTATTGATAATAGTCAAAGAAAATGATTCGAGAATTGTTAAAGTAAAATATATTATTACATTCTCAAAATGAAACTTATTATATAATATTATTTTATTTCATAGCGCGCATACATCAAATCCATCGGAGGAACTAACGTCACTGATGCCGTAAAGAGGACTTTGTACAAATTATTCTCAAATAAATTGGCGGAGAGATATAATTGGGAAGGCCGTTGTGGAAAGGAACCATTACGTAATTTGGAACTAATAAAAGTGATTTTCAGTAAGTACTACATAGCAATATTTAAATATTCAATGAATTTCAATGAATGCAATATAATTATATTTAAAACAGTTAAAACTGAGAAAATGTTCTTAGGCTGCGTACTTCAGAATATCCCGGATACCGATCACGGCAAAATCCAGCGAAGGATTATGGAATGGTTCCGACATTCAAAGGCGAGACATCAGAATGAGGAGAAGCGAAAAACACAAGGTGACGTTGGAGACAACGCTCCTGCAGAGTAAGTCGTAGTAGGAAAGTTGAGAAAAGTAAGGAAAGGTATTATAAACAACAGGTATGGACTTTCATTATTAATACATATGGTAAGAGGTTTATGCAAGTATATACATACATCGATTTTTTTCAATTTTACATACTGTTACTTTTCTTTGTTTTTACTTTACCTTTATTTTCAGCTGTTTAAATTGCCAATGATGAGATGCGCTATATAAAAGTTTTCAATAACTTAAACCGCAAATCTGAGGCAATTCTTAAAAAAATTTTTTTACACAAAATATAATGGTCGAATAGTATATTTTAATTCTAAATTTATTTAATCTAAATGTATATACTTACCTTTTACGATCGCTCTGTATTATTTCATAAAGACACAACAAACGGAATAAGAAACAGTTCAACATGTTGAATAAGAAACATCGTAGAAAACGCTTCTTATTCAATATATTGAACTGTTCCTTATTCATCGTGTCAGGATCAGCGTATGTCCATACGTTATTATAATAAATTTTAAATGTGTTTCAGATATTCATGTTAACAACCTATATGAACTGGTAGGATCGGTATTCATAGTCTGTTTCTCAACTTAAAAAAATAGTAAGCATGCACAATCTTAAAAAGCTAATACGGCCTATCTAGCTGTTTGACTAACAATTAATGTATAAAGACCGTTTGTATAAATTACTGAAGACGAGCTTAAGTGAGATCAGACTGTGAATATC